CCCAGGCTGCCCCGCTTCCCCCCCATCCTGGACCTGAGCCACAACAACCTGACCCGCCTGCGGGCCGACTGGACCCCCGCCCGCCTGGCCCACCTCCACTCCCTGCTGCTCTGCCACAATGCCCTGGGCTTCGTCTCCACGGAGGCCTTTGGCCACGTCCCGCACCTGCGCTACCTGGACCTCTCCTCCAACAGCCTGCGGGCGCTGGAGGAGAACCTCTTCAGCCAGCTGCAGGAGCTGGAGGTGCTGCTGCTCTACAACAACCAGATCGCGCAGCTGGACCGCAGCGCCTTCGATGACATGGCCAAGCTACAGAAGCTCTACCTGAGCCAAAACCAGATCTCCCGCTTCCCCGTGGAGCTGGTGAAGGACCGGGCCAAGCTGCCCGACCTGGCCCTGTTGGACCTTTCGGCCAACAAGCTCAAGGTCCTGCCGGTGGCAACCCTGAAAAGCCTCCCGGCGTGGATTAAAAATGGCCTCTACCTGCACAGCAACCCGCTGAGCTGTGACTGCGGGCTGTACGAGCTCTTTGCCCACTGGCACGCCCGCCAGCTCAGCTCCGTGGTGGACTTCCGGGAGGAGCTGGTGTGCAGCCTGCCGCAGGGCAAGCGCAGCGTCAGCATCCTCACCCTCAACAGCCAGGACTCCCTCAACTGCAGCGAGTTCAAGGAGCACGTGCTGGAGGCCTACCTGGGGGACACCGTGACCATCGACTGCGACACCAGGCTCCGGGGGGCGGCTGCCAGGGAGTGGGTGACGCCAAACAACAGGCGTGTCCCGGAGGAGGCCGCCAACAGCACTGTGACGGTGCTGGGCAACGGCAGCCTGCAGATCCGCCCTGTGCGGGTGGAGGACACGGGCGTCTACACCTGCTACGCAGCGAGCCAGGCCTTCAACGAGACTCTCTACGTGGACGTGAAGGTCTACAACTGCACCCAGCACGGGTCTCACGACACGCTGAACACGGCCTACACCACGCTGGTGGGCTGCATTCTCAGCGTCATCCTGGTGCTCATCTACCTGTACCTGACGCCCTGCCGCTGCTGGTGCCGGGGCAACGAGAAGCCAGCCGCCCAGCTAGAGGACAGCATCAACTCCTCCATGCTCAGCACCCCGCCCAACCACGACCCTGAAGTGGCCGGCCACAAGGGAAGCCTGAGTCACCTTGCAGCTCCTGGCCCCATGCAAGGCCAAAACGGCAAGGTCCAACCCAGCCGCTCGCCAGGGCAGCCCGCCAGGAGGGCCCCGAAGGGCCCCAGGAAAATGTCAGATCCGGACTCCGTCAGCTCGGTCTTCTCGGACACGCCCATCGTGGTGTAGGCGTACGGCAGACCCAGGCAGGCGTGTCGAGGCAAGGGAGGGACCCTGCCACTGGGGCTGGGCCCAGCAGGGGGTGATAGAGCTCCATGCACATGGCGCAGTGCCACGGCCAGGCACTGCCTCCTGCTACGCAGCACCCATCCTGCTATCACCCCAGTGAACGTTGTACTCCCGTCCGCCAGCTCCTCGCAGCCGTCCAGCCCTCGGAGCAGAGCTACAGCTGCACCTTCCTCCAGCCAGCGCTCTGCAGGGTCCCGCTGAGAAAGGAAGCCCACAGCCGGGATGGGGTGCCCGTGCACAGCCATGCTGCAATGCCAGAGCAGTTCTTCCTTCCTCCTCCAAGGCCACCCCAGGGCTGCTTTCGGCTCCTTGGCACAACCCCGTGCTCGGCTCGGAGTTATCCCAGCACAACGACCTTGGGCTGGATCTGCAGTTTGAAGGTCACCTTCTGCTTTCCTAGCTTGGCATCTGTGGGGACCAGCATGTGGGAGCAGGGGCTGTCTCCTGCCAAGGAGACTAATGCAGCCCAAGGATTTTCAGCGACCTGAGGTTGAAAGCGGGACGTGGTCGCCCCTCGGGCCTGGGAATGGCACGGCACTCGGGACATGATGGGGCACGATCAAGCCCAGCTGGTCCCCCGTGAGCTCTGCCTGACGGCGTAATGATCAGATTCCGGGTCTTAATTACAATGATACATCAAGGCACAAGCTGGGTTTCTGAGACAGCTATTCAGCCCTGCAGTGGGCTGTACATGGCTGCTGGGGAGACGTGCAAGGCAGGCACCCAGGGGCCCTGCTCACAGAGCTGCATGCCCCAGGGCTTCCCTGGGAAGGGGGACTGGGGATGGAGTCTGCAGAAGGCAGCTGGCAGGAGCCCTGCCAGGAAGGGGTGAGTGTGGAAGGCACAAGCTGGGTTTCTGAGACAGCTATTCAGCCCTGCAGTGGGCTGTACATGGCTGCTGGGGAGACGTGCAAGGCAGGCACCCAGGGGCCCTGCTCACAGAGCTGCATGCCCCAGGGCTTCCCTGGGAAGGGGGACTGGGGATGGAGTCTGCAGAAGGCAGCTGGCAGGAGCCCTGCCAGGAAGGGGTGAGTGTGG